TCGGCTTAGCCGGCCCGGCGACTCTTCCTGTTTCACCGGAAACCGCTTCCGGGGATCTCGCCGAGTCAAGCGTGAACGATACTGAAACGCTGGGGAAGAACCTGCTCTTTCCTGGTCAAGGTCAGTTCCCGCAGGTTGCGTCGGCCACGGGTCGAGATGAAATACTCTAGGCTGTAGAAACGTTTCTTGCTTTTGAACGGTTTTATTTCGTCGGATTGTTCCTAGTTTAGTTAACATCGAGAATAAGAATTATGCGAATTCACCTTCACTCTGATCTCAGAAAGCCTGAATTAAAACTGCTTGCAACGCGGTAAAAGATAAGAAGACGGGAGCGTGGAAATAAAAAAAGACTAAATCACTGAGTAACAAAGAATCGTTTATTGATCTCGTGCTATATTTTCCGAGACGATAATTTTCGGTCGAAAATTTTGTACGAAGATCCTTCGGCTGGACAGCGTTCGAAAAAAACGGGCGTCGCGAAGTAAAAGGATTAAAAGGGCGAATCTGGACGGATGTGGAAGGACGGAGAAGGGATCCCGGGGGGTGAAGACGGGCGGGGGTGTCCGGTAAAGAGGACAAGCTGCGTGAGGTCACTGGCAAAGTAGAAGCCGAGCGGATCGGCGGACGGCGTTTCGTTCGGGTTCGAACCAAGGTACATAATTCATCGAGCGTGCACCATTGTCGGGAGCTTCATTAATACAAATGGCGTCTGGTGAATTCTGGCCCGACCACACCCCGCGCCGTGCACGATAGTAACAAGAGCGCGGGGGTGTGTAAGGCCGGCGGCGAGCGAGCAAGCTAGCAAGCTGCGCCGGCATCATCCCTTCGGTATAGGCGAACCGGCCACCCCCCGCACGACGACGACGTCGTCGTCGTCGTCGGCGGCGGCGTCGGCGTCGAGACGCGCGAGACATATTTTTCCAGTCCTTGTCGACTTTCATGAGGGCGTCTTTCCGCAATAACATATTAATATCCCGGAGCATCGCGAGACTTATGGCAGCCGGGTTCGCGGAGGAACCTCGACCCTGGATCAACGCAGCGCCCGTTAAGGCGGATCCGCACCACCGGGACACACGAAGGACGCCTAACGCGCGGCTTAACCGTCGTAAAGCAACCGTTGCACGTCCACCCGCCCCCGGGCAACGGGGTTATCGGCCAGGAATTGACAACGATGCCGCCGCGAAATATCTTCCCCTCGTTTTACCAACTACCCTTAAGTCCGACCGAACCGGATTTATCGCCGCGAGCCGGCCTCCACCCGCCGAGATCTTACGTAACCGAACGCTCGTTGCGTAATCGAATGACGGAGCCGCGAGCGTAACGCCGGCGGAATTCGCTGATGAAAATAGGACGCGAGAGATTGAATAATGCTAAACGCGAGCTGCGCCGCTTCTATTCGAATCGTTCACAAACAGATCCAATTGTTTCTTTGTGGCGTCGCGCGGCGTTCGTCTATTTTCGAACGAGAAACCGTAAGATACTCCCTGCCCTGGAATCACCTTCGATGATTAATTTATAATCGGTCACGGGGAAAAATCGGAACGTTCTATTTTCCAGCAGGCGTATCAATTTGTTGCACGATCAAAGAGAAAGAAAACGTTTCGTAACATCCAGCGATAGAAAATGGGTGAAGGGTCGAAGCAAGGACTGCAAGGTCCGGCCAACGAAGGAGTTCGAAAACACTGTGGATTCTCGAATTTTCGGGGGATCGGCTTGCAACCCTTTCCGCTCGATCAGCCCGGGAAGTCGGTCTATAAATCGGGTGTGGCGACTGTGCATGTTTTGCATTCAATCTACTGGTGCGAGTTCGAAAAGTAAGCCGAGCGAAAAGCTGCTGGTTTTCTCGCGTGAACAATCATAGCAGCTTGCATACGGTTTGGTAGGAGGAATTATCACGGGAAGCACGGATTCGCCGGAAGCGTGGAAGGGGTGGTTGATGGTGGCCGGTGGTGGTGGTGGTGGTGGTTCACAGATGGATTGGCTACGGCCAGGGCCGGCGGGCAAAAAAAGCGAAAAACACGAGTAATCAAGGTTTACATATCGCATTTATTTTGTTCCTTTTTTTTCTTAGTAATCGTATAATCAAGGTAATATTACAATTCAGCGTTCAGAACAGCAACCGCCCCTAAGAGTCTGTATATCCGTTACAACGTTCACGCACGATATAGGCAGCAGGTGCGGCCCTGGTCGCTCTCTCTCTCTCTCTCTCTCTCTCTCTCTTCCTCTCTCTCTGTTACTCTTTCTCTCTCGGGTTACATACAATCAGGATTCAGATTGGTAAACAATTAATACTCTAATATGTTACAAAAGAGGATTGCTGCTTTGTGTCGATTCTTGTCGCCGCGTCCGATAACGTTTACAGAGATATTGCTACGCTACAGACGCTCCACCCCCTTGTTAGAGGGTGCCTAACCGCTCGCCTAAAAGGAGTCCATCGTCGAACAACGCGTTTTACGGCGCGACGGAGAGCGTCTACTTTCATCCCTCACTCGTGTCTTTTTGTCCACATTCTCTCCCTCTCTTTCACGCGGAATGATTCTCTCTCACACACACTCTCTCTCACTCACTCTCTCTCTCTCTCTCTCTCTCTCTCTCTCACAGTCTCACATATGCTGGCTCGTATCACCGAGATCCACAAAATAAATAATTATTAACATTACATTCCTCTTAGAAATACTGCGTTTAACTGTTTACTCTTGCGTGTCTCTTAGCGGCTATTCGTATACATTCATTAACTAGAATAGTTGTTTACTGCTTAGGATAGCGCCACACACAATCTCGTGTCTGGGTAGGCGTCTAGGTACTAGGTAGGTACGTACAATGTAATTAATGTTGCTTGTAATAGAGAGTCTCTATCGCTCGTTTCGTCACTCGCTTCACCGAGAACACCAACGACGAGTCAATGGGAAGTTCGAACGAACCGCTTGTGTGTGTGTGTGTATGTGTATGTGTGTGTGGGAACAAGTGAAAGAAGATGATGATGAAGAAGAAATAGAAGAAATAGAAGAATAAGAAGAATGAGAAGAAGAATGAGAAGAAAAAGGCAATGACGACGATAAGAGTACGATGAATCGAAGATCAGAATCTTCTTCCGTTACCTTTTGCCTTTCCGACGGTTCTACACAAAGAAAAGCTACTCCGACCCGAGAGTACGTCGCGCGCATAAACGATTTCTATATAATATTTAACAAAATCATCGAACATCAACATATATATTTTGTACCGATCGAAAGACACACGTTCGCATCGTCCGCCGTCGAAACGAAAGGTTCGGAGGAAAGCAGACGAATTTACAAAATCAAAGGGGGTAAAGAGCCGACGATGGAAACGTGTTCTCGTGTCGTTCCGCAGGCGATTAAAAAAAAATTAACAAAAACATATAACATCAACAGCAGTCGTACACGATCATCGAGAAGCGACAAAACGGAAGTGCGCGCTGATCGAACGGGACAGGGGTGGGGCGGGGAGGGTCGCGTTTCTTCACTTCTTTTTCTTTTTTTTTTATCCATTTTTCCGCCTCGTTCCTTTCATTTTTGTACATCGATCCGTGAGAAAAGAAAGAACAAATTCATCATCGGGATAAACGCGCGGATCGCTGGATCGTCGAGTTCGATTCTCTCGCCTCCCCCCCTTCCCCTAAATCACGCCCCTGTGCCCGTTCCGCGCGCCGCGTAGACGCTCGCGGACGCTTCTCCGCTTCCTACGCGTTAACTTACTAATGTGTACCTCTCTCTCCTTAGGCCTTCCGATTTTTACGTATTTTAGGTTTCCTCGAGAATGAGCTGCGCGCACCCTACCGCACCGTACCGCCGCGAAACAACGAAACGGGGTGGGAACAACGAAGCGAAAGGGGGAGCGTCGAGGGTAGTCCGAGCATGTCTCCCTTCGATTTCTGTTTCCACGTTTCTTTTCACGGTCCCGACTTTCTTACTCTCTCTCTCTCTCTCTCTCTATCTCTCTCTCTCTCTCTCTCTCTCTCTCTCTTTTGTCTCAGTTTTCTGCTGTTCTGTTCGTTCTCTCTCTCTCTCGCTCTCATTCTTTCCGTCTATACATCCGGACGATCTTCCGCAATTCGAAACTCGCCAGAGATCGGTATAAGTGTGGAACTACTCCGATAACTCACCCCCTCTATCTACACACTACTGCGCCAAAGCAGGAACTACAGATAGAGAGACCACTAACTGAGGGCGAGGGGGTGGACAGTGGGTGCGGATGGAGGACTACGACAATACTAGGCTTGTACGGACGTCAGTGTGCACTTGGATACTGATTGGTCTGCGGGCATATTGGTCAAAGTGAGCTACAGGAGGTTCCTGGGGAGATGCGGGGGTGGTTGGTGATGCTAGTGGTGGTGGTGTGATGGTAGTGGTGGTGGTGGTGGTGGTGGTTGGCGCGGGGGAGCGGTAGGCGGGTTCGTCACTCACCGGGTGCAGCTTCCGATTCGCCGCAACCGATAAATTGACGATCGACAGATACGCACATCGACCATCTATTTGGCATTACAGAGACAGTGGATGCAGCCTGCCACTCACCTGAAACAGAAATCAGAAACGCATCGGTTAAGTGACGCGGTGTCTCATTGCCCCCGGGGTCAGGTTTGGAAATGCGTCAACGATGCACATTCTTGCATCGAGTGAACTTTAACCACTACAGAACCAACTGAACGCTTAATTCGTGTACGCATGGGTGCAGGTGTACCATTGTAAACAACGACGGTGCGAAAATCACAGGGCAACAATATCGTCCGAATCTCGATCAGATTCATTGCCTCGAAGTGCAACGTTTCAGCCAATCTCATTGCACCTCGAGTCCCGTTAGGATGCAGGGCCAAGAAATGGAGCAGACGGCGTCTACGTGAGAGCAGCTAATCTGCTCATCCATCAGCGTAGAATTCCTGAACGTCTACTGTGTCACTCTGACACATTTTCAGCATTTCTAAGCTGGGACATGGTCCACAGAATCTCTCTCTCTCTCTCTCTCCCTCTCTNTTTTGTCTCAGTTTTCTGCTGTTCTGTTCGTTCTCTCTCTCTCTCGCTCTCATTCTTTCCGTCTATACATCCGGACGATCTTCCGCAATTCGAAACTCGCCAGAGATCGGTATAAGTGTGGAACTACTCCGATAACTCACCCCCTCTATCTACACACTACTGCGCCAAAGCAGGAACTACAGATAGAGAGACCACTAACTGAGGGCGAGGGGGTGGACAGTGGGTGCGGATGGAGGACTACGACAATACTAGGCTTGTACGGACGTCAGTGTGCACTTGGATACTGATTGGTCTGCGGGCATATTGGTCAAAGTGAGCTACAGGAGGTTCCTGGGGAGATGCGGGGGTGGTTGGTGATGCTAGTGGTGGTGGTGTGATGGTAGTGGTGGTGGTGGTGGTGGTGGTTGGCGCGGGGGAGCGGTAGGCGGGTTCGTCACTCACCGGGTGCAGCTTCCGATTCGCCGCAACCGATAAATTGACGATCGACAGATACGCACATCGACCATCTATTTGGCATTACAGAGACAGTGGATGCAGCCTGCCACTCACCTGAAACAGAAATCAGAAACGCATCGGTTAAGTGACGCGGTGTCTCATTGCCCCCGGGGTCAGGTTTGGAAATGCGTCAACGATGCACATTCTTGCATCGAGTGAACTTTAACCACTACAGAACCAACTGAACGCTTAATTCGTGTACGCATGGGTGCAGGTGTACCATTGTAAACAACGACGGTGCGAAAATCACAGGGCAACAATATCGTCCGAATCTCGATCAGATTCATTGCCTCGAAGTGCAACGTTTCAGCCAATCTCATTGCACCTCGAGTCCCGTTAGGATGCAGGGCCAAGAAATGGAGCAGACGGCGTCTACGTGAGAGCAGCTAATCTGCTCATCCATCAGCGTAGAATTCCTGAACGTCTACTGTGTCACTCTGACACATTTTCAGCATTTCTAAGCTGGGACATGGTCCACAGAATCTCTCTCTCTCTCTCTCTCCCTCTCTCTCTGTTCCAAATTTCGATAGGTAAACCGGTCTCTCTCGGTGGATTTTTCAACTAAATAAAAAGAGCGCCTTTCCAGCCCGAAGTTGGAACGGGGTGGCGAATCGTCGAGCTGGGTGCAGCCAGGTCGTTTCAAGGTTCGACTCGACGGGGGTTACGTTCATATGTTGAACGTGTCGAGGACACGACGGGTCGGGTCGTCCGGCGCTGGTTCAGCTCCTTTTGTAATGGGATGAATGCACGTGGTGCCTTGTCCAGCCACACGCACGTTGAGCCCCGGCTTTCCTGGTGTCTGTATCTCGGGGATATCGATAGCCCGCGTTAAGAGCGAAAGGGGTTGGTCGGGAGGAGAGGTCTTAGGGCGGAATGGCAGGACATCGAGCCAGCGCATTGCCAATCCGCTGCCAGTTCCGTTCTTGCCTTCTTCCCGTCGTTTGTCTTCCTTTTTATAACCGTTTCGTGCCTTCTGCCACCCTCGCCGCCCTCCCCCCCCCCCCCCCTTTTACCACCTTTTGATGCCCCGAGATACCGTCGATGATACCGGCTTTTCCACGACTATCGCTGTTCCTTACAGTTTCCGATCGCTCCGATGCCGGAATCGCGAGGAAAGTGAGATCTTTCGTAACTACGAATGGAGGCAACTGTTTTAGATCTCCGCCAATGATGTTACTCCGATTTATCGGACGCTTCTGGATCGTTCGATTAGCCCGAGATTTCGATGCATTCACAATTCGTTCAGTTTCATCGACGTTTGCAACAGCATCGCTTCTTAGAGATTAACGGGCCTAGTTTGGAGAAAGAAAGGAGAAGTATGGCGTCGGGTCTAGACAACACGACGACCATCCCCATAACGGACCCTCTCTACCATTCTTGTGTCTAGATAAGCAAGATCCGAAGAAATCGCTTAAGGGGAGGTTTCAGTCTAGAGGTATAAAAAAGTCGATCTTTTCATCGGTTCGCACTTTCTGTGGTGATTCAGAAATACGGTAATTTCTGCCTAATTCGCGATCAGTTTGCGCACAAAAATGAACAGTTTGGGGGAGAGGAGATACGATGGTTCGAGTCTTGCGGCTCATTTTTATAGTTTTGTCAACGATTATAAAAATTAAGTGCAAGATGAATTATCAAATAATAAGAATCTTCTGTGAGCGTATACGTTCAATTTCACGTGTATCGAATAAAAACAATTATACTAATTCGAAAGACTATAAGGCAAAAACAAGTGACTCGAGTTTGGAGTTACAACAGTCTCTAGTGCAAAGGGTTAAGTCTGCTCTTAAGGAACATTTTGTATACATGCAAGAAAAATCGCTGTAATTATGATTTTTTGAGGTATAGTAAATTCTCTCTAATTTTCCTACAGCTTGTAAACAAAAATGAACAGTTTGGGGAGAGGAGACATTATTATATTATTCGAGCCTTGTGTCTCGTTTTTATTGTTATTGACAATCGATGACTGTAAAAAATTGCAGCAAATTGTCCATTATTGTACGCAATCTGAGCGCGAATTAGGGAGAAATTACTGCACGCAGCTGAAAAAATTTTCAAATTCTAATCAAAATTCTATTCAAGTAAACGTCCCACCATTCGAAGAGAATTCTTCTGCCGCCTCAATTAGATGAAATAAAAAATTATATAATTGTTCGTACGCTGAAAAGACCCGCGATAAATTGTCGAGAACCGCAGATTCTCATCTTATCGTCGCCCCTTAATCAAACGATCCCGGGCCTCGTGCGTTCTCGAAGCGAGAAGGTTAAAGGTCGCCTTTGAAGTTTTAGCGGACGAAGTCGCGGTGATTCGGCGCGGTTCCGAAGTTGTGTTTCTTCAGCGCGATATCCCCGGCATTATCGTTCCTGTTTATCTTTATATTCCCGCGCGATTCCTCCCCGTTTCCCGGCGCGATCTGTCATTTCTCGAGCGTCGCTCGCGATCGCAGTCGCCGGGCCGCGGGGATGAATCACGGATGCCCACGGAAGCAGAAGCGTTGCTCTTTATTTCTGCGCCGAGATTTCGAAAAAGTTGTTTGCCCTGGCTGCCGTCGGCCGTCGTGACAAAGGCGGATAAAGAAACGGAAAGGTAGCGGAGAGAGGATGTTCCCCCGGGTCTTGGCAAGGTCGGCACATTTTACAGCCGCAAACTCGCGCCAACTGTTCAATCTACCCCTCTTATACGACCCGGTTGCTCCTTCTTCTTCTTCCTCTTCCTCTTCTTCTTCTTTCTCTACTTCACCGCCGCTGGTCTACGAATATCCCTCCGAACTTATTCGTCTTCGACGAGGGCTCCCGTTTATTCCCTTTATTCCCATCGACTGATTTTTTCGCAGTTCAACGTAATCCCGTCGAAATTGATTTTTACCTTTTTACTGCGCCGAATTTACTCGGCCTGAACGTCTTCACCGGGGCGAGGGCGAAGCCATTCCGCGGGCAAATGTATGTCGACGTTGCCGAACGATTTCTCCTCTCTTTAAACACCGCTTAAAATGTAGTGAGCATTTTTTATTGAAATGTACATCGACTTGAATTCAATATTTTTGTCCGAAGTGTCATAAAAGAAATAGAGAGAATCGTTGCAGCAGCGATTTATATGAACCGCGGAAACAATTCGAACTCGGTATCCGCGACAACGGATACGAGAATAGCCTCTGAATTTCGAAGAGGATCTCCAAATTCCTGAGAAGATCCGCACACTCATTATCGATCCATCACGGAATGAGTATTAATTTTTACCGTGAGACATCGAGCCAGGGTACGAGGCTGAAGAGGGATTACGGGAACGTCGGATGAAGACGTCGTCATCGGGCGGCACGAAGAAATCCCCGGAATTTATTCAAGGAGCTACGGAACCACCCTCGTAGCTGTTAGGTTTGTTTGTACCGCGGTCGTATATCATTTTTGGCGTAGTTTGCTTTTCGGCCTAGAGTCACTTCGCCTTCTAGCCTCTACGGCGGAGCTGCGCGCAACGAGCAGGCACCGAGGAGTTTAATGTACGTACACGAGCGTTGCTTCTTCGCGCATTTATCAGGATTTCCGAAGGAAGCCGGACTTTTTAAGCCGCAATAAATTTCCCTTCCGCGTGCCTTTACGTCGAGAGTCTAATGTTGCTTAAAGCTCGCAAAAACCGGGAGCACAAATCTCGATGCGACGCCCGGCAAAACAGCCTTATCCGTCACTCCGGGATCAAGGCTGGCACGGATAGCTATGACCCGCCTGGAAATTCTTCGACGATCCTATCGAAATTTATTTTCGCCTAAACAGTGCAATTTAGAGGAGGCCCGGGCGATTCACTTCCTCAGCGTTTCAGGTAAGCGTTTCAGGTAACGTGGGTTTTTTTTTACTCCAATAGGATCCCGATTCCCTGCGTTTTGAGGATTTTCCCGCGTGAAAAAGGTCTGAGCAGGTAATTGCGCCTAAAAAAGATAGTCGAAGTTGGAATCGGTCAACAGAAAGTTACTAACAGAAAGTTAGTTGTTTAATTCATTAACGCTTAGAGCTCCGTTGGCTCAGGTACGCAAGCATCGCTCGTTCGTACAGTATCGCTCATTAATTATTGATGGAGGCGGGAGTAATTAATTCATACATTCTCTATAAAACTCTACAGCGCAATAAAAATAAGAGAGCATCGTCGCATTTGCAATATCGAAAATTTTTAGTCGAGCAATTCGTAGGAAATTTTCGTCGGCATAGATCAGGAGTTTCTACATTAATTTATATAATCTAATATTATTATTATTATTATTATTATTATTATTATATAATTATATTATTTATACAATATAATCAGGATAGGTGCAAAGAAGGAGTGCGGTGTGTGTTCTAAAAGGAAAGAAATGAGTGGCACGCGTGTGACACTTGCTCAAGTAGAGAATGCACATGGGGGATGTTTCCAAAGATATCGCATCATGGTGAATTATAAAATTAAAAATGTATGTTTCATTTGCAAAAGGAAAATGCATACTTATAAAATAAATAAAATCAAAAACATTCGCAAGCACGTGTTATACCTTGTGATACAAAAACGCGCGAAGCGCTAAGGGTTAATATCTAGAGCACGTTAAGTGTCGGCAATCAACCCCAAAAATTCCTACGAAATCGAAATAGTTAAATCACTGAAACAGAAACTAAAAACTGAAAAGTTGTCGCAGTAGATGATACTTTAACTCCTTCTCATTCTAAACATCCTAGCAGAATTCTTTCTGTCCGAACATATTACGCTAACAATGAATTTTTAAAACCAGTGCAAAATTAGTGCCAAGAAAAAGTGATCCATACGTGTCACTACACTCGACGCGTTAATAACCGTTTCGTACGACGAATGCAGAATCTTACTGGTCTTGAAAACGAGGTCGAAATCAAGCTCGCGAGAATTGAATTGCACAAGGATTGCCGAGCGGGGTTGGTAAGTGTCGAAGAAATCGTATCGAGCGAGTCGAGAAAAAATAACCAAACGTAATGCTACGCGAGAGAGAGCCGGGTGGCGGGTAACAAAGAGAGAGAAAGAGAGAAAGGGGGGCGAGAGAAAGAGAGAGAAAAGAGAGGGTGAGAAAGATG